TAGGTCGGAGGCCATCGCCCTTAGGTTGGAGGCCATCGCTAGTAGGTTGGAGGCCATCGAAAGTAGGTTCAAGGCTATCGCTCTTAGGGTGGAGGCCATCGCTAGTAGGTTGGAGGCCATCGCTATTAGGTTCAAGGCTATCGCTCTTAGGTTGGAGACCATCGCTATTAGGTTGGAGGCCATCGCTATTTAGGTTCGAGGCTATCGCTCTTAGTTTGGAGGCCATCGCTATTGGGTTCAAGGGTATCGCTCTTAGGGTGGAGGTCATCGCTCTCAGGTTGGAGGCCATCGCTATTTGGTTCAAGGCTATCGCTCTTAGGGTGGAGGTCATCGCTCTCAGGTTGGAGGCCATCGCTATTAGGTTCAAGGCTATCGCTCTTAGGGAGGAGGTCATCGCTCTTAGGTTGGAGGCCATCGCTATTAGGTTCAAGGGTATCGCTCTTAGGGTGAGGTCATCGCTCTCAGGTTGGAGGCCATCGCTATTAGGTTCAAGGCTATCGCTCTTAGGGTGGAGGTCATCGCTCTTAGGTTGGAGGCCATTGCTTTCAAAAGCACAACCTAGGCAGTTTCGGCGGCCAGTGGCCTGTGCATGATCTTTCGATGGTGGTCTGCGATGGAACGCTTCGCCACCCAAATGGTGCGTCGGCTGCTGCCTGGGAAATGAACGGACACCTACCAAATTTCGGTCAACGTCCTGATCTGCTGACGCTCATTTATGGTGAAAGGGACTGCCCTAAGCTGCTAGGCACAATAAGCTACTAGGAACAAGTGCATCGCTTCTAGTAACAAGTGCCTTACTAGTAGTAACAAGTGCCTTACTCGTAGTAACAAGAAGCTATTAGAAACAAGTGCCTTACTAGTAGTAACAAGTGCCTTACTAGTAGTAACAAGAAGCTAGTAGAAACAAGTGCCTTACTAGTAGTAACAAGTGCCTTACTAGTAGTAGCAAGAAGCTATTAGAAACAAGTGCCTTACTAGTAGTAACAAGAAGCTGCTAGAAACAAGTGCCTTACTAGTAGTAACAAGTGCCTTACTAGTAGTAACAAGAAGCTATTAGAAACAAGTGCCTTACTACTATTAACAAGTGCCTTACTAGTAGTAACAAGAAGCTATTAGAAACAAGTGCCTTACTAGTAGCAACAAGTGCCTTACTAGTAGTAACAAAAAGCTTTTAGAAACAAGTGCCTTACTAGTAGTAACAAAAAGCTTTTAGAAACAAGTGCCATACTAGTAGTAACAAGTGCCATACTAGTAGTAACAAGAAGCTATTCGAAACAAGTGCCTTACTAGTAGTAACAAGTGCCTTACTAGTAGTAACAAGAAGCTATTAGAAACAGGTGCCTTACTAGTAGTAACAAGTGCCTTACTAGTAACAAGAAGCTATTAGAAACAAGTGCCTTACTAGTAGTAACAAGTGCCTTACTAGTAGTAACAAAAAGCTTTTAGAAACAAGTGCCATACTAGTAGTAACATGTCCCTTACTGGTAGTAACAAGTGCCTTACTAGTAGTAACAAGAAGCTATTAGAAACAAGTGCCTTACTAGTGGTAACAAGAAGCTGTTAGAAACAAGTGCCTTGCTAGTAGTAACAAGTGCCTTACTAGTAGTAACAAGCAGCTATTAGAAACAAGTGCCTTACTACTATTAACAAGTGCCTTAGTAGTAGTAACAAGAAGCTATTAGAAACAAGTGCCTTACTAGTAGTAACAAGTGCCTTACTAGTAGTAACAAGAAGCTAGTAGAAACAAGTGCCTTACTAGTAGTAACAAGAAGCTATTAGAAACAAGTGCCTTACTAGTAGTAACAAGTGCCTTACTGGTAGTAACAAGTGCCTTACTAGTAGTAACAAGAAGCTATTAGAAACAAGTGCCTTACTAGTGGTAACAAGTGCCTTACTAGTAGTAACAAGAAGCTATTAGAAACAAGTGCCTTACTAGTGGTAATAAGTGCCTTACTAGTAGTAACAAGTGCCTTACTAGTAGTAACAAGAAGCTGTTAGAAACAAGTGCCTTACTAGTAGTAAGTAACAAAAAGCTTTTAGAAACAAGTGCCATACTAGTAGTAACAAGTCCCTTACTGGTAGTAACAAGTGCCTTACTAGTAGTAACAAGAAGCCATTAGAAAAAGGTGCCTTACTAGTGGTAACAAGAAGCTGTTAGAAACAAGTGCCTTACTAGTGGTAACAAGTGCCTTACTAGTAGTAACAAGAAGCTATTAGAGACAAGTGCCTTACTAGTGGTAACAAGTGCCTTACTAGTAGTAACAAGTGCCTTACTAGTAGTAACAAGAAGCTGTTAGAAACAAGTGCCTTACTAGTAGTAACAAGTGCCTTACTAGTAGT